AGCTGTTAATACAGCCCCCTCTCGTAATGTGATAACAAAATAAATTATACCGCTTGTGAAACAAAGAATACTATTTACATACGAAAACATAAAATTAACCGTGGTGGATATTGCGATAGTACTCTTTGTTTCACAAGCGGTACAATTTGCAAAAATAAAAACTAAACAAAACTAAAATCATCATTATTCACAACGGTGGCTGTTAATACAGCCCCCTCTCGTAATGTGATAACAATAAATTGTACCGCTTGTGAAGCAAAGAGTACTACAATATATATACGCGCGCGCGTGTGTGTGTGCGGGGAGGGGGGATTCCCTCCTCTCACTTTTACGAGCCCCCTGCTCAATAGAAGTAGATATTGTTGTACTTCATTGGAAATCCTCCACGGCCACGGCCACGGCCACGGCCACGGCCACGGCCACGGCCACGATTGTGGCTACCGCCGCGATCCGCCTTCCGCCCGCGCCCAGCTCGATACCACCTTGCTGTAATGCAACAAAGAATTTTTATAGTAATGAAACACGATAGCCTCGCATCAAGTGTAAGTACAGTAAGCGCAGGTAGAACCGCGCACAGCGAGACCGTCGTGTAGTTTACGCGAATTTCAGACTTACACGGTCTATTAGTCGTCGAAGACGACGGCGACGGATTGTTTTCCTTTGGCCCCGGTGACGGCGGCGAAGGTCCCGGTGGCGGCGGCGGAGGCCCCGGTAGCAACGACGAAGGCCCCGGTGGCGGCGGCGAAGGCCCCGGTGGCGGCGGTGGCGGTGGCGACTGCAGTAACTGCAGCACTGCGCGACCGGGCGGAGATGCTGTTTTATTGACCATCTTCGCCTTGGCCATAGCGTCGGCCAATATTTGGTCGTCCGTGCTGCAATAAAAATCTTGTTAGATTAGGAAAAGAATATTATTGCCATTACTAGTACTTACGTGTTGTCCAAGTCGACCTCCATCCCGTTCGGTGTTCGTGGTTGATATGATAAGCGCCGTGAACGCGCCGTGAACGCGCAGCGACACCGTGTCTCTTTATCGACTGTCTAAATCCTTAGACAGTCGATAATGAAGACATTATTATCGACTTTGTAAGGATCATGGCCGTATTACACTAGCGGCCGTATTACACTCGCATTGGCCGTTGCGTCTGCCGTTGCCGGTGCTATTAGACCAATAGATGTCCGGCTATTCTGAAGCCGCGAGCCGCCATCGCCAACCGCTGTTCTCTGATTGGTCGAGACGCAGCAGCCAACGCCATCGGGAACCGCTAGGGGTACGTTCAGAAACACCATCCGAGTATTCCCAGCGTATCATTCTACTGTCCTTGTTTAACACATGGTGAGCATTCTTATGAACGCGCTCTAGTCTAGTATGATACTCGGTGCGCGTAAACCGAAGTTTCATAAGTGTGCATGTCGATGGACGTATGTTTTGTAATAAACATAACCCTTGTTCCAGATCTCGAATCGAGATTTCGGTCCGAGAACCGTGTACCTATATTATATATTATATCACGAGACACGGTAGTGTCTCGCGCCAAGTATAAGCGACTAAGTATAAGCGACAAACTAAACCACGCGCGCGACACCGACCGTGTAGTTTACGCGAGTACGCGAGTTGACGGGCCCTCAGAATTTCGGATCTCAACAACGGCTGATCCGACGAACTTGAGACTGCGCTTAATCGATAGCTTGGGTACGATTTGTATAATAAAAGTGTTTTTACTTTTCTCCTACGTGCCCCGTGTGTGGAGATATTGCTTGCAATGCAAAGTCCGCAGTTATGAATTCGCGTTTAAGAAACGTCGTCCACGTC